GCCATTCCGGCAGCCTTTGCTTCACTCCCGCCCGATCTCCTCCACGTCTGTTTTGGCCTCCCAGCTTTTCTTTCCCCTTGTGGGTTCCAGTCCAAGGCCAGCCTTGTAACGTTGTCAACTGGTTTTCGCTGTGTGTGTCCAATCCAGCCCCATTTTCTTTTCCTGATGTCTTGGCTAACTGGGTTCTGGTTGGTCCTTTTCCATAGCTCTGTGTTTGAGATCTCTGGCCACCTGATGTTTAGGATGTGTCACAGGCACTTGTTGATGTACGTTTGTCCAGTCAGTGTTGTCTGTTGAATAACAGGTAAATATAGAATGTAAGGTAATCCTCAGTGAGAGAGGTTCTACATGTCCACCATGATGTGTCCAGTCAATGTTGTCTGTTGAATAACAGGTAAATATAGAATTTAAGGTAATCCAGAGTGAGAGAGGTTCTACATGTCCACCATGATGTGTCCAGTCAATGTTGTCTGTTGAATAACAGGTAAATATAGAATTTAAGGTAATCCACAGTGAGAGAGGTTCTACATGTCCATTGTGATGTGTTCAGTCAATATTCTTTGTTGAATAACAGGTAGACATAAAATGTTTATTTATAAATAATTTCATAAAGGAAGCAATGTCCAAATGACCTTAAAAACAGCAGTTGAATGATATAATACTTTGCACTTTCAGAAAGACTTGCTTGTAAGTGTGTCTGTTTTTTGTGCATGATCTTGGGAAAGGGAATTTACTATGTTCATAATACCTGACATACGACAAGCTCATAGAGAGAGATGATGTGAAGGAAAACAAAAGGTAAAAAGAGCCCACAGAAAACAAAGGTGCTTGAGTTCTTCACTTAACGTCCATATACACCAGTATAGAACTGAGTGAACCAAAACACAGTGGTAGTTTTATCAAGATGTTGTGAAGCATACTAAACAGCTCATAGTTCTAGCAGTCATCAAGTTAATTAAAAAGACCTCAAAGAACCAATGGCTTGGCAGTAAGTCTGAAG